CAGCATAAGTTCAGTAACTGCAGCATTAGTCAGTACTGCAGTATAAGTCAGTACTGCAGCATAAGTCAGTACTGCAGCATTAGTCAGTACTGCAGCATAAGTCAGTCAGTACTGCAGCATAAAGTCAGTACTGCAGCATTAGTCAGTACTGCAGCATTAGTCAGTACTGCAGCATAAGTCAGTACTGCAGCATAAGTCAGTACTGCAGCATAAGTCAGTACTGCAGCATTAGTCAGTACTGCAGCATAAGTCAGTACTGCAGCATAAGTCAGTACTGCAGCATTAGTCAGTACTGCAGCATAAGTCAGTACTGCAGCATAAGTCAGTACTGCAGCATATAATTATCAGTACTGCAGCATAAGTCAGTACTGCAGCATTAGTCAGTATTACTGCAGCATAAGTCAGTCAGTACTGCAGCATAAGTCAGTCAGTACTGCAGCATAAGTCAGTCAGTACTGCAGCATTAGTCAGTACTGCAGCATTAGTCAGTACTGCAGCATAAGTCAGTCAGTACTGCAGCATAAGTCAGTCAGTACTGCAGCATAAGTCAGTACTGCAGCATTAGTCAGTACTGCAGCATAAGTCAGTACTGCAGCATTAGCAGTAAGTTATAAGTCAGTACTGCAGCATAAGTCAGTACTGCAGCATTAGTCAGTACTGCAGCAGCATAATTAGTCAGTACTGCAGCATTAGTCAGTACTGCAGCATTAGTCAGTACTGCAGCATAAGTCAGTACTGCAGCATAAGTCAGTACTGCAGCATTAGTCAGTACTGCAGCATAAGTCAGTCAGTACTGCAGCATAAGTCAGTACTGCAGCATTAGTCAGTACTGCAGCATAAGTCAGTACTGCAGCATAAGTCAGTACTGCAGCATAAGTCAGTACTGCAGCATAAGTCAGTACTGCAGCATAAGTCAGTCAGTACTGCAGCATAAGTCAGTACTGCAGCATAAGTCATACTGCAGTCAGTCGTACTGCAGCATAAGTCAGTCAGTACTGCAGCATAAGTCAGTACTGCAGCATAAGTCAGTCAGTACTGCAGCATAAGTCAGTACTGCAGCATAAGTCAGTACTGCAGCATAAGTCAGTACTGCAGCATAAGTCAGTCAGTACTGCAGCATAAGTCAGTACTGCAGCATAAGTCAGTCAGTACTGCAGCATAAGTCAGTCAGTACTGCAGCATTAAGTCAGTACTGCAGCATAGTCAGTTACTGCAGCATAAGTCAGTCAGTACTGCAGCATAACTCAGTACTGCAGCATAAGTCAGTACTGCAGCATAACTCAGTACTACAGCATAAGTCAGTACTGCAGCATAAGTCAGTACTGCAGCATAAGTCAGTACTGCAGCATAATTCAGTCAGTACTGCAGCATAAGTCAGTACTGCAGCATAAGTCAGTACTGCAGCATAAGTCAGTACTGCAGCATAAGTCAGTCAGTACTGCAGCATAAGTCAGTACTGCAGCATAAGTCAGTACTGCAGCATAAAGTCAGTAGTACTGCAGCATAAGTCAGTACTGCAGCATAAGTCAGTACTGCAGCATAAGTCAGTACTGCAGCATAAGTCAGTCAGTACTGCAGCATAGTCAGTACTGCAGCATAAGTCAGTACTGCAGCAGTCAGTCGCAGTATAAATCAGTCAGTACTGCAGCATAAGTCAGTACTGCAGCATTAGTCAGTACTGCAGCATTAGTCAGTACTGCAGCATTGCAGTCAGTCAGTACTGCAGCATAAGTCAGTACTGCAGCATAAGTCAGTACTGCAGCATAAGTCAGTACTGCAGGCAATAAGCATAATAGTCAGTACTGCAGCATAAGTCAGTACTGCAGCATAACTCAGTACTGCAGCATAAGTCAGTACTGCAGCATAAGTCAGTCAGTACTGCAGCATAAGTCAGTACTGCAGCATAAGACAGTATTGCAGCATTAGTCAGTACTGCAGTATTAGTCAGTACTGCAGCATTAGTCAGTACTGCAGCATTAGTCAGTACTGCAGCATAAGTCAGTACTGCAGAAAACATCAGTCAGTACTGCAGCATAAGTCAGTACTGCAGCATAAGTCAGTACTGCAGCAGTTCAGTACTGCAGCATAGTCAGTACTGCAGCATAAAGTCAGTACTGCAGCATAAGTCAGTACTGCAGTCAGTACTGCAGCAGCATAAGCATAAGTCAGTACTGCAGCATAAGTCAGTACTGCAGCATAAGTCAGTACTGCAGCATAAGTCAGTACTGCAGCATAAGTCAGTCAGTACTGCAGCATAAGTCAGTACTGCAGCATAAGTCAGTCAGTACTGCAGCATAAGTCAGTACTGCAGCATAAGTCAGTACTGCAGCATAAGACAGTATTGCAGCATTATTCAGTACTGCAGTTTTAGTCAGTACTGCGGCATTAGTCAGTACTGCAGCATTAGTCAGTACTGCAGCATAAGTCAGTCAGTATTGCAGCATAAGTCAGTACTGCAGCATAAGCCAGTACTGCAGCATAAGTCAGTACTGCAGCATAAGTCAGTACTGCAGCATAAGTCAATACTGCAGCAAAAGTCAGTCAGTACTGCAGCATTAGTCAGTACAGCAGCATAAGTCAGTCAGTACTGCAGCATAAGTCAGTACTGCAGCATTAGTCAGTACTGCAGCGTTGGTCAGTCAGTACTGCAGCAAAAGTCAGTACTGCAGCATAAGTCAGTACTGCAGCATTAGTCAGTACTGCAGCATTAGTCAGTACTGCAGCATAAGTCAGTACTGCAGCATAAGTCAGTACTGCAGCATTAGTCAGTACTGCAGCATAAGTCAGTACTGCAGCATTAGTCAGTACTGCAGCATTAGTCAGTACTGCAGCATAAGTCAGTACTGCAGCATTAGTCAGTACTGCAGCATAAGTCAGTACTGCAGCATAAGTCAGTACTGCAGCATAAGTCAGTCAGTACTGCAGCATAAGTCAGTACTGCAGCATAAGTCAGTACTGCAGCATTAGTCAGTACT